TGTGCATATAATTAAAGTTGTATGTAAAATATTTTTAATTCCCTTAAAAAATTCTCTAGATATGGCGAAACACGTAAAAAGTAAATTTAACAAAGGGGTCCAAACTTAGGACTCATCTTCGACCCAAACTATTTCCTAGATTGTGGTTACGCCCTATATTTTGAGAGAAAAAAATTCAAAAGGGTGACAAAAAAAAGTATTTATTGGGAGAAAGCAAGTCTTTGTGTTTGATTTCGTAGTTTAAAATATCGTCGGCACTAATAAATTAGCATACTTGAGGTCACTCCCTTGAATCGACAGGGTTGAGTCCTAGAACGTGAAGATCCAATGAGGCAAACCGGGTTCGAATCCCAGCGATGGCTGGTCGATGCAAACCCGGCCCTCACCAAACGCAATGCTGACGTAAAATATCCTCAGTGGTAGATGGATCACGGGTTAAAGTCTCCTTGCTGTCAGGCTAACCGTGGGAGGTTTTCGTGCTTTTCCTCTAAATGTAAAATAAATGCTGGTTAGTTGCCTCAAAAAGTCCTCCTCGAAGTCAAATTTTTTTCCGAAACTTGGTCCAGGAATTTCCTTGTCTTGTGGATTGGGTTCAAAACCACTGAGTTGAACATCAGTAGTCGTAAATTCAACATTTTGTCGGCTGTTCAACAATGGTTATGAAATAGAATTAGAATCTTATACCAATTAATCTAGCATCATTTGATTTTATGATAGTATAGTGATTTTTTTTATCTTCTCCTAAACTAGGGGTGCACATCGTTTTTGAGCGAAGGTCCACTTGCACAGCACGTAGATTAATGAAGGGCCGCACGCATATGTCATGTCAGCGGCAAATATGATAATTTTTAATCTAAGCACCAAATGTTTCTATCAGTATGAACTTATCACATTTGAAAAAAATTAAATACTTTTAATTATTTGAATTTATTTAAAACTAAAAACACGCACACACACACACACACACACACATATATATATNTCTATATATATATGTAACAGTCGGCGGGTCGCATGTGGCCCACAGGCCATAGGTTGTGTACACCTATCCTAAACGGTTTAGTACTATTTCTTCATTAATTTTGCTTTTCAGTACATTATTTTTTTATTTATTTATTTCAAATACCCTTAATTTTAAATTATTATGGAATATAAAAAGGCGAATTTTTTTTATGTTTTCTCTAAACGTTTAAATGGGATTTCTCTAATACTCTTACTTTATAGTACATAGCATTTATTTTTCATTTCGATTAATATTTATTACCAAAATTAATTAAGCATCATTGGTATCAATAATAGTTTGACTTTTTACATTTCTTTTAAGCGAATGAGTACCATTCCTCCACATTTTTTTTTTTAGAACACAGCTTATTTATTTTATTTTAATTTAGACGCATTACCAAAATGAAGCCTCATACTATGACAATTTTTTGCGTTTCTCCTATACGGATTTAATCTATTTCTCCATTCATTTTGCCTTTCAGTACATGATTTATTCTTTCCTTACTTCAATTACTGTTGATTTTAAGCTATGTAATTTTATAGATTAACATTCTAAAAGATAACTATAAATAAAATAAACACTTGGTTTTAAATAACTTTATAATAATTTAGCGACGTCATCCGAAGATGTTATCATGTTCATGCTGATAATTGAGTTGATCTGACTTATTAAAAAAATTATTAAATATTAAAGAATGTGCGAAAAAACTTTTTTTTCAATGAGATCTCTAAGAGCGAGTAATAAGCACTGATGTAAAATATTTAAAAGAAAGAAAATCGTTTGCAGGTCTGAGTTTTCTCAATGACCAGTTTAAACCCCACGAAAAAATTATTTTCTACCGAACGAACTGATTGGAAATTTAAAATGAATTTTAGGATCGAAAGATAAATTTGCTCCTCGTAAGCGCTGTCCAAACTTCAGAAGAAACGGTAACACACACTCCATTTTATTTTTATAGATAATACTGTAAGTGTAATACTAGTTCAAATGTTATTATTCTTTTTTTTTTCCAAAGGTTAGTACAATATAGGTGGTATGAATGAAACAACCGATTTTCTGAATCGTTTCCTCGCGAATGTCTTTAGTACTCACAGCCGAAATATGATTACCTAGAAAACATAGGGGGAACAACGTTATTTTATAATTAAAATATTTCAAATAGTGATAAAAGTGAGTTTTCTTTTCCCCTGATTAAATTCAAATAAAATATGTAACAGAACAAAATTTACGGTTTCATTCAGTTTTTGAAACTCTTCGAGAAATATTTCCCAGCGATCTACTTTTACTTTTTTTTTTTTAAAAGAGGATTTTGTTATCATGCCACCCTGTCACAAAAAAATAAGTAAATCCCCTTTACGCAATTTTTAAACGGCAGCATTCTCTGAAAAATATGTTTGAGTAATGAATCTTGAAAGGATTGATTGCCATCCTATGAAATTGAATCAAGTTTCCGTTTAAGAATTAGACTATATAGTTTCAACTAAGCGGTTCATTCAACGTGGTTACCCATCTTTTTAAATGCAACCCACTATTTTATTTATTTATTTTTGTCAGTTCAAGCGGGAAATTATAGGAAGAGGGGTCATTCCTTATCTGTAGCACAATAGGTTAAACGCGTTTCAAGTGGGCGTTTTCGTTTTAAAAAAAAAATTAATAAATAAAAATTCATCGTCTTTTCACATGATAGATTTTGAAAGTTTTTATTTTTACTTTTAGCAAAGAAGGGATAAATGACCCCAGGTGAAAAACACAGAATTATAAATGCATATGAGCACCCCATCTTCAAACTTCTGTATCACTGTTCACAATGTATGATTAAAAATACAGGGTATGAATGTTGAGGTGGGGGGTAAGGGCGCAAACAGGATCACGTGACCTGAGCAGTAAATGGGAAATGTATGACAATCGATTAGTTCCGCACGCGGTAGGGAGCAAAAGAATATAAAACACAAGGGGGGGATGTGTTATAGAGAGACCCCCTCTTTCCGCTGCACTGAACATTAATTGGTAACACCGTGACGCACGCGCAGACCATGTCACGAAGCGTGTCGCCCACGTGGGCCTGAACACTATTAAACACTGATTGCGGGTTTTGCCCCATTGTACTTTTTTCTTCTTCTTTTTCTTTTAATATTATTCAATTAATAGTTTTTAAAAATTGAAACATTTTAATGTTTGTCCATAGAATGATACTGAGGCTGCTATGGAAATAAGAAGTAGCTCTATTTGAAATCTCGTAGAGCCATTAGGGAAATTATTTCCATTGACAGATTATACTTAATTATTTCAATGACTTTGTACTGCACATAAAATACAGTCCCTGGTTGAAATATTAGATGCACTCTATGTAAAATCTTAACTACTTGACAGCTGTGTGTTGTTTTGACTGTTTGCACTTGCTTACGCTCCTGTTTCAATGGGTAATGCAATACCTTGAAAATAAATACACGTAGGAAGTATATAAAAAATCTCCTGAATTAAGGCCCATTACATGTATGTCTAAATATAAAAGTATTGCATGCAACTTCGTTCGAGGCATGTCATTACTAAAAAACTGCAATGCCGGCTCAAAATATCCGCAGAGGTAGACAGATCATGGGTTAGAGTCCCATTGCCGTTAGGCTAACCGTGGGAGATTTTCGTGGTTTTTCTCTCCACGTAATGCAAATGCGGGTTAGTTCCATCAAAAAGTCTTTCACGAAGGCCGATTTCTCCCAATATTCGATCCAGGAGTTCCCTTGTCTTCTGGATTCTGTATAAAATGACATGACTACGGAACTGAGCATTAGTAATTGTAAACCCAAAATTGGGTCGGCTGCTCCACGACGGTTATAAAATGAGAAATTTTTATTTTTTTTTTAATGTCACTATCATATTGAGTTATATTGTTTCGCGACACTGTTCAAAACAAGAACGGGGGCAACAACTGAGTTTTGTCTCATTTCGAAGTTTTGTCTCATTTCATTCATTGTTCATTTCGAGTCCTGTTTAAAAGAACATTAAACAAATACTAAGAAAATAATATTGTGTTTGTGGAATGAAAACGATCAAATTTTATCCGCTCGCGTATCAAGAAAGATGGACGATACTTAATTAATTTTATTATTATTTTTTATTTTATTCTATTTTCAGTCATTTCTTCGTTTTATCTCATTCTATCTTGTTAAAAACAATTGCTCAAATAGATAAATATTAAATAAATAAGAAATTAAAAAAAGTAATAACTTAAATGATCGAAAATTTTCAAACTAAGTAAGTCTATGATATTTTAAACAATGCAGTTGAGAATTTTTTTCTTTTTTTAATAAAAACTGCTTCCTTTTTGCTCCAATTCATAGAATATAATCACGATAACATTAAATTAATAATTCTTTCTTCATTTACTTGAGTTATTTTTCGCATTCAATTTTATTTGTTTTGATCACTTCAATCAATTGTGAGTGAAGCTGATTCAATTCAATTTTGAGGCAAATATTTTCTGAGAATGAAGTTGTTCGATGGAACTATTCCGCATTTGCGTTACGTGAAGAGGAAAACTATGATTACTTCCCACGGCAAGGAGACTCTAACCCATGATCCGTCCACCCCTGAGGATGTTTCACGGCAGCACTGCGGTCGTTGCAAGTTCGAATCGACCCACTATCGCTGGGTATTCGAGCCCCGTTCACGTCATTTTAAGGCGAACTCTCTATCCTCTGAACCATCACGACTAAGGCATTGTAGATATACAGAAATACAAGCATGTTTTAAAAGCAATGCAAAGAATTTTTAGCTTTCTTTCGAACTCAAATTTGTACTATGATGTCTTGCACGCCAACATAAAAAAATCCTAAATAAAAGCCATAAAAATCCTGTCAAAAACTGCTCTTTTTAGAAAGCTTAAGTGAGTTAAAAAAAAAAAGTATAAAGGTATTTTCTGGCAGATTAGTTAATGATGTAGAATTTTGGAGATTTTTTTTAAAAACATTTTTTCGGGAAGAAAAAACAAACTATTTACCAATATTCAAGTGAATTTAAGCAGCATACCAAATTTTAGCTGTAGAGGATCATTAGCAGTCGAGTCATGTAGCTAAACAGATTACTTTGAAAATCGCAGGAAAATTTTTTGAATTCACAGACGATTCCAGTTTAGATTCCAGTTTTTAGGTTCCAGTGTGTGTTTCCGAATATCATTTTATAGTTATCGTCAAATAACTGTGAATAAAACAAGTCAAAAAAGAAGAGAAAAAACAATTCAAAAATTTTGTCCTCTTAAAGATAGTGACCACAAATTAATATTTTTGTTAACAACTCTTGTTTATTTACTTCAGTCTGAAGTGCTCTTTTGGAGGGGAGAAAGCAGCAGCTGCGGAGATTATGAATAGAACACAATAAGTGTGTCACTTATTATCCCATTATCTGTCCCCCCGCCCTCTTCTGAAGTGGTGGTGGAAAGGAGGGGGAGGGAAGAGAGAGAGAACAGCAGGTGTCATAAGAAGTGATACAGGTAGCAATGGATGACGCAGGTGTCATATCAGATATCATATCCAACAGTGGAAAAAGGCTTGTAACGGAAAATAAAATGAAATTTCAGTCAAATTTTTAAAGGCGACACGAGGGTTATCATGTAATGTCCTTTTTCAGAATAACCAAAATTCGGGATTTAGGTTAAAGTACATTTGTCTATTCTCCATACGAACCTTGCAAATGAGAAGAAATATTACTTTTACTTTTTTTAATAAACAACATTACTTTTCTATTTTTCATTATAACTGTCGTTGAACAGCCGACTCAATTTTTTGTTTTTNGGGGGGGGCTTACGAGTACTAATGTTCAACTCCGTAGCTTTGTAATTTTGAACCCAATCCAGACAACAAGGAAACACCGTGATCAGGCATTAGGAGAAATTTGTCATCTTGGAGGACTTTTGGATGGAACTAACCTGCATTTGCGTTACATGGAATGGAAAACCACGAGAACCCTCCACGGTTAGCATGACGGCAAGTTGACTCTAACCCAAGATCCGTCCACCACTTAGTATATTTCATATTAGCACTGTGGTCGGTGCAAACCGAATGCGGAATTCGTATCGACCAGCCATTGCCGGGATCGAACCCGGTTCACCTCATTGGAAAGCAAACGCTCTATCATCTGAGCCATCGGGGCTCATAAAATTTTCCGTCGAGGCGGAGGAAAATTTTATGAGCCGCAATGGCTCAGGGTATCAAAGGCTGTAAGTTTTTTTTTTTCCGCCCCATACTGCCACACGTAACTACATTCTTGCAGCTTAAAACAACTCTTTAAAAAGGACTAAATGTCGCTGTCGGAAATCAATGTTTTTATTTTGAAGTAATTAGTTAAATAATTCAAAGAGTTTCGAGTTCAATAATGCTTCTAAGATAAAATTGGCAAATTTCATTAATTTATTAAAATCTTTTTCCGTCTTTCATAATCAATGGTTCTATGCGAACCGTAATAATAGGTTAAGAAACAAAAAGTTTCAAGTTTAATTTATTTTCACATTATGACGTATACTGCCGAAATATCGAATAATATGCCATTGTAAACAGTTAGGCTCCATTTTTTAAGCTGCATCCTTCATTTCAATTCTGAAAACAGTGTCAATACGACAAAAAATTTGGTGAAAAGCGTTTGTAATCAATTTTTTTAATATTTAAAAAAATATACTGCTGGAAAATTGAGAATTTTTTTATTGATTTTGATAATCTTTTCTATGGGGAGAAAAATTGCGCCTTATTAACTATCGATTTTATCGACCGGATGATCCGTTATGTTAAGATGCAGTGGTCGGAAAAACTACATTATTTTTGTAGTCAACTACAACTACTTTGTTGCTACAAAACTTAGTTAACTACGACTACTTTTTTTATAAAAAATGTAGTGACTAAAAGTGACTTTCGAAACACTAATTTAAGGTACCGATCTTGGCTCGATAAATTAATTCATACCTGTGTTCAAAATGGTTTTGAATGAAAAATTAGCTTATATTAAACCTGAAGATTTATTTATAAATATTTAATCACTAGGAGGCTTCGCCCCCTGCTCGCTGGCGCTAGTCAACCCCCGGAACTGCTTTCCTCAGTTCTTTTCGGATTGCTTCGCAATCCAATGCTCGCTTTGCTCGGTCATTGGATACGTTCTTAACGTCTAGCTTTTGTATAATTCTTTGAATACTGAAGTTCCGAAAACTTTTCGCTGCAGAAAATTCTAAACCTGTACATTTCAATATTAATTTGAAATTACAAACAGTTCACATATTTTGCTTAATCACACTATTCTAAATTTCAGTTGTTGAGAAAAGTAACTGTTGTAAGTTTTGTTTTAAAGTCTTTCCCACCAGAGGGCTAAAGCCATGTGTTGTAAAACAATATGAAATAGTAGTCTGCCACTGAACGCCGGATGTAAAGCATCGGCTTCGATGAAGATAATTTTGTATTTTTATTCTCTGAAGGGCGCGCCACCCTAATAAAATGGAATTTGTAAAGTAAATGTATATACAGTCAATTCGCTATAACTCGAAGTACGATAACTCGAATATTACTATAACTCGATTTTTTTATGAGGTCCCGACCCTTTTATCTTCAAATTCATGTTAATTATTCTCGATTACTCGAATTTTACTCCCTTTAACTCGATTTTTTTTTGGATCTTTTAAAGCAAGAAAAAAAA